GAAAGTTTTGAGTACAATATATGTATATTGAAGAGTCATTACTTTCAAGTTTTTAGAAAGTTACATATTTTCATTATTTAACAAAGACTTCCTCCCATGTTCTAATTTGTCTCAGTGATAATCTCAGAATCATCTAAACTCCTTTGTCTTCCCTGACAGTAATCCATGACAAATCACAGTCTTATCTGTCCTTTCTTAACATTGTTCATTTCAAAATACTTGTTTTGAGCAGTAACTGAAAATACAGATAACATTTAAAATTTCATTATAACTCTTAATTACCATTAATTTAAAAAAATAAAAAATGAAATAGAAGCCAGCCTGGAATCCATTATGTTCCTATATTCTATCTTTTCTCTGGAGCAATTACAGACTCTCCTTGGGTCTGTAGCCCCTCCAATACCATGGGACTATATAGTCCACTAGACTCATAAAAATTTGACAACATAAGTTGAAAATGGATTTAATACACTTAACCTTCTGAACATTGTAACTAAGCCATACTTCAGAACGTTGGTCACTTCCCGTGATAGTCTAGCCAAGTGTGAGCTGCAGCTGGCTTCCTCGCTCCTGCATCTGAGAAGATCACTGTACCCTGAGAAAGGCAGAAATCCAGAAGCTTGAAGCTTGGTTTCCACTGAAGGCACATTGCTTTCGTACCGTCATAAGCCGTAAGTTGGGAAGCATCTCTACATTTGAACTCTTTCCTGCTTATGCAGTTGGGTGCCTTCCCCAGAGACGTCTGCTGAAAAGCCCACCTGCATCATGCCCACCCATTTGGAAGTCTTCCGTGCCTTCCCCTGTTCTCCTAGAAAAAGTAGAAACTTACCGGGAATCTTGGACCCAGGACTCTGCCCCCTGGCCACTATCAGCTCTTTCATTTTTATCATTTGCCACGTTGCCACAGGAATTGCCAAATTCCAATCAAAGTGAGCTACTGAAATTTCCATATGAGACCTTCCCATTGCCACGCCTTGCTCATTTGAAATGCCTCCCATGCTCCTCAGCTGGTTGCTTTCCATCTGTCTTTCATGATCCAATTCAGCACACAGCTCCTTACTGCCCGCCTCTCCTATACAGCTTTTAATGCCTCTTCCTTCTCTGCTGCTCATTGCCCTCACAACATTAGGGAAACTCTGTCACTTAATATCAACATCATTCACTGCTTTGGATCCTTTTTATTAAGCAATATTCAATACTATTTACTTCTGATTTATAATAGAATATATTTAGTCTGTTTCTCAAATGATGATGGGAAGACTTGCAATCAAGACCTCACAAAACAGATACATCCATTTACAAAGGATGCCAAGGAGAGGGCTCAGTAGAATCAGCGCTTCCCTGGCAAGCGCAAAGGCCTGAGTTCAATCCCAGTTCCGCAAAAAAAAAAAAAAAAAAAAAAAGACCCCGTCCCAAAATGTTAAAAACACACATACAATTCCTCATTTAGTGACTAAGCCATTCAAAGATCTAATCGCAGGACGAGGAATCATCATTAAACAAGGAGTATCTGGGTTGAATTCCTACTGTGCCCATTTACAAAGGAAGTGAAAATACAAATATGCATGTGGGAGTGACTTATAGTATTAATAAAATCTCAAATCTAGCTACATGTGTCTCCTGGCAGTCAAGGCGAAATAAAGGACCCAGTAGTTATCTGGCAGTGACTTACCATTGTGTGTGTGTGTGTGTTTGTGTGTTAAGATTTTTTATCTGCCTACAACTTGTCTTACTAACTGTGATACTCATAAGTGCTAGGATTTATTTTAGGAGTTACTTAGCAAACCATCTAGTTAAGATTAACATGCTAACAGAATCACAAATCTGAGGACATTTTCTTTATGTAGAAAATCCAGATAAGCTTATGAAGAATATCTAAATGCAAATGTGAACATAAGATACATAAGTTTCAGGAAAAATAAAGGATCTGTGGTTATTAATTATAAGAAATTAAGAAAGCATTCACAACCACAATATTTTAGGATATATATATATATATATGAAGCAAAATTTTATAGGATAAGAAATTAATTTATTAGAACTAAATTATAGATTTCAATTGATATCATTCTCACAAATGGAATAGGAAGCAATCTCCGTTTTCTTGCAACACAACTTATGGCATGCACCATTTCTGAGGTGATTTTTTTCCTCCCCAGGTAGCTGTCTTACGGGCCTGGAAGGACATGCACCGATGAACTCTACTGTTCTCCGTATTTCATGTCAAGCTTTTATTTCTACTCTATATAGAATTTCCCCAAAACTTGGTAGGGAAGTATGTTTCAGGTGGAGGGAGCACTCCCAGCAGGCTGGACAGCGTGGAAGGCACTATCCAACAGAGATTCTTGTGGTGATGGAAATGTCCTACGTCCATGTTAGCCAACTGACAGAGGAAAGTTCTGGGTCTGTAGCCCTATTTTCACATGCAAAATGCTTACAGTGTGACTAGTACGACCAATAAACTGAATTTAAAATTGTACTTAATATTAATTACATGAAATTTAAGTTGAAGCAGTCACACAAGGCTGGTGACTAAAATACAGAACATTGCAGCCTTGACAAGACTCTTTCTTTCTTTCTTTCTTTCTTTCTTTCTTTCTTTCTTTCTTTCTTTCTTTCGTGAATTTAGGACAGAGTCTAAAGGGTGTACAGGGTATCACTATGTAGATCGGACTTGCAGTAATTCTCCTGTTTTCAGCCTCCCAAGAGCTGGGATTACAGGCGTGCACCCCACGCCCAGTCTCAATGGCTGTCTGAGACCCGCACTTAAGGCAGCCTGAAGTATCCACCCCCATACCAAAAAAAAAAAAGTCCTTCTCACTGCTGTCTCCGCGTTTCCGGGGGTGGGGCCGTGCGGCACACCAGGGATCAATCCCTGGCCTCTGCGCTCTGCCTAAGCAGGCATATTAGTCTGTTGAGCTATCTGGCCAGCCCTAAGGCTCTGTATTTTTGAGACAGCCCTTTCCTTACTTGATTGGGGCTCTTCAGAGTGGACCGTCAACACTGTCACTGTATTATTGTGTGATGCTACAAGGTGCCATGCAGTTTGGGTGTCTTCAGCATTTTAAGAAGCCTATGTTAAAAATAAAATTCAAGAAAGTTTATTACGTAATGTCATGGTGGCACGTTTCTATCATGACATTGTACTTGGGCTCAATGATAAAGATTTATGAAGCAGGTTAAGTAGGTCCACTTCTACCAAGCCTAGTGTGGGCAGGCACTGCTTGGCTAACACTGGCATTGGTAGCCTTGGCCTATCTCTTCATGGCTTCTGAGGGAGGCGTCCTGTCAAATTGTTCTTGAGGTAAACTGTTCTTGTCCGACTTTCTAGTTTTGCTCCCAGTACTATGGTCCAGTGGACGGGGTTCAGTTTCTTTAGGCTGGAGGGAGCCTGTTTTCACTCTTAATTTGAGGAGCCCGCTACTTGCTCTTTGAAATGCTGTTTTGTAAACTGCTATTTCCTCCAAGGCTGTCGGGCTTTTCCCCAACTGTGTTGAAGGCTCTTTTCCCAATGGGGCCTTTCTGTCTCAACTTACTCACGTATGTGTAGAGACCCACACCGCACACTTCTGGCCTCTGGCTCCTCCCGGGAGGGAACCCTGCTCATAGTGCACTGGGGCAGCAGAGTCCAGTGCACAGAGCCCTTTCTCGAATCTGCCACTTTTCCTGGCAGTGCTCCTTGGTCCAAACCACACCAGGGGGGAGAAGAGGGGGAAAAAGTAAAAAAGAAAAAGAAGAAAAAAGAAGCGGTGTGTGTGTGGGGAAAGCCTTCTCTCTTTAAGGTAATGTTTTTAGAAAACAGTTTTGTAGCCCTACTAATTTTTGGTTTGTAAGGTACTTCTGTTGTTGTTGCTTTTAAATATTCCGTAATTGGGCTAGGAGAAAATCCTGCAGAAGTTCCAATTTTCTTCTCTTCTCCACCAGCACCGGCAAGCCATAAAGTCAATTTTGACAGCTATGCTTTCCTTCCAGGTACAGATTAAATTGTTCCCCTTTTGAAATGTATAATTCATAAATGTGAACAGCCTCAACCACAGCTCCTCCCACCCTCAGATAGGAAGCAGGTGGGCGGAATTTGCTCATCTACCTCGCTGGCTGTCCTGGGGATGGTCAGAGTCGGATGCTTCACACTCTGACCCTGAAGACGGAGACCAGGATTTTCCTTGGCCCTCCTGGTCCCTCAGGGAAAACCCTTTGCCAAATACGGCTCCAGTCCACAATTTCCTAATCCAGATGGGTTGAGACAATAGAGTCCTCTGGCCAGGAATGCTAAAAGGGTCAAAGTTGTAATAACACAATGATAATAAAAAAAGAAACCCTTGACCACTTTGTCAGACCGAAATCTGGCCAATAATCTAGGCAGTTGCTCTATTTTTAATGGTCACATTCTGAAAGCATAAAAAAGAACTTCACGCCCAGTGTTCAGGCTGACCTGGGTAGTCACCGCGGGAGGGCTTTGCACACCGAGGTGTCTACCCGAGAAATCAAGAGAAGCACATTATTTCTGGTTTTGTAAATTGGCTTAGTAGGGCACAAGCAGTGCATTTTTTTTTCAGTTAAAATATCTTTTATATATATCATTTTTATCATTGGTTTAAGCTTGTATAGAGCCTCTCTCTCTCTCTCTCTCTCTCTCTCTCTCTCTCTCTCTCTCTCTCTCTGCAATTGCTCTTTCTATATTCCGGCTCACACCCTGGGCTTGAGCCCTTACACCATTTCAGTGCCTTAATGCCCACGCAAAAGGACTGTCACCAGCCTTCCAGCCTGGGAATGCAGCGACCCTCTGCTCCTCCCAAAGACTCCGTAGCCACCTGTGGCTGAGGTCGGGAGATTCCTTCGCCAGGAGGGAAGTGCAGTCCTCGGGACCTCCTACAATAGGCACAGGAGCACCCCCCACAGCAAGCCAGGGCAGGGCGCGCCTGCAGCGAGACTGGGGGTCCCGGCTGCGGGCGGCGGGCTGTGCACCCCGACGCGGCCCGACAGCCGCGTCCTCGCCTTACCTTGACCACGTCGTCGTTCAGATGCTTGGGGTCGCGGTTGACCAAGTCGATCTCCTTGGTGTGCGCGTCGTACACTTGCTTCTCGCCCACGTCGTCTGCCATGGCCTTGTTGTTGGGCTTGTAGATGTTGCCCTGCTCCCGAGCGGGGACCGTGTACAGATGGCCCTGCGGAGGGCGGCCGGCCGGCGACGGGAAGAGAAATGCGGAAGGCGAGGCGAGCGTCAGGAGTCAGCCCGGCGCGGGGAGACCTCCCCCCGAACCCCAAGCAGCCGCGTCCACCGCGACGGCTCCGCGCACGGGGAGCTCCGCGCCGCCCGCGTTTTAAGCGGCCAGCGGCGGGGACACCACACCCCTCGCCGGGCGGGAGCGGCCTCGGCGGCCGCCAGGGGTCAGGGCAGTCCCGCGCCCCGCGCCGCGCCCCCGCGCCTCACCTGCCCGCGCCCGCCACCCTCGCGCCGGGCCGAGACCCCTCCCGGGTATCCTCGGGTGCAGCCGTGGCCTCCAGACCCACGAAGACCCCGTTTCCTTAGCCGCATCGCCTGGCCCCCACTTTTCCTCTCCAACGCTTTGCCCTCCCGCTCCCGACCCAGAGGTCACCGTCCCGTGCCCGCACGTCTGAGCAGAGCCCTATCCCAGCCCCCAAGCTTCCTAAATTGTGTCTCCCCGCACGACCCCGACCACCCTGCGGACACCCCGGCGGCGGCGCCACGGGAAGCGCAGCCCCATACTGGGGTCAGCGGCACGCAGCTGGTGGCAGCCACTGAGGGACCCTGCCCGCCGAGGTCCCAGGGATGCGGGAACTTTGGAGGGCGCTCGGACGCCCTGGCCTTGCGGGACCGGACACTCATCCCGCGCTGCGCGGGGTGCTGTGCCCTGCGGGTCCTACACGGCAGGGGCCACCTTGGACCCCCCCGGAAAGCGCGCCTTCGGGGGAGCAGATTCCACCCAGGACCCAGCACCCAGCACCCAGGACCCAGGACCCAGCACCCAGCACCCAGCACCCAGCACCCAGGACCCGCCCCTTTCCCCGCGGCCTCGAGCTGGGGCTCCCCGGGTCCCCTCCTCGACAGAAAGCACACAACATTCCTGGCTCCTCTTCACCTCCCCGCCCAGGCCCATTCCTCAGCGGTGCCAACGCGAGGGCAGTGCCCGGCAGTGGGGAGGGCTGGGCAGGCAAGGCAGCCGCGGCATGTGGAGAGGGAGCTAGCGGGAGGCTGCGGCCGGCGGGCGGCCCCACCCGGCCTACCTCCGAGTCCACGTATTTGCCTCCAGACATGCCGGCGCGGCTGGATGCAGGCTCAGGCTCGGAGGAGGTCTCCCTGGGCCGTGATGGAAGGGAACTGAGGAAGGAAGACTGTGGATCGCATGGGAAGGGGCCAGGCGCTGGCGAGGGGCGGTGGCTGGAGGGAGCCTCCTGGCCGCCCGCCAGGGCTGCTGCGCGCGGAGGGCCGGCCCATCCCGGAGGCGCGGGCGCAGAGGGCGGGCGCCCGAGCCGGAGCGGAGCGGGTCGCGGGGCTGGCTGCTTGGGCACGTATTTCAGGCCCGGGGCCACGTCTTCCCGGCTCTGAACCTTGGAGAGGCGTTTTGGGGAGAGCAAATGTTGTCTCAGTGCGTCATCTCAGCCGGGTGGCGGGAGCCCAAGAGTCTTCAGAGATGCCCAGCGTGGGCGCTCCGAGAGCAGGAACGGGACCCTGTCCTGAGCCATCCTTCCCCTGGTTGCCCCAGTTCTGTTGCTGCCTGACACACATCTGCCTTCCGTTTCGCAGGGGAAGGCATGGAAAACAGCCCGAAGCTTGTCGGAGTCTTTCATGTCTCTAAACAGGGAAGGAATCCAGTCCGTGTGGGTGCCTGTGTGTGGCCTGCTTTCGGTGACACTGGAGGGCCACGCAAGGGTGGAGGCGCAGGCATGCAGAATGTGACCTTCGCCACCGCTTCTGCCATGTCTCTGGAAGGCTTTGAAATAAATGAAGATGTTTAACTTTGCTCTTCTTTTGTGACTAATTTGTTTTGGAATAGAAGAAATTCATGTCAGCAGGTTATGTTGTCCTTGTAAAAACACATTGATCATTTGCAATTGTAGAAAATTTAATTAGAGCATCAAGTTTATTACTAGAGAGGATTTTTTTTTTTTAAAATATGCTTGGCTATGAGGGGAAGATTTGACTTTTAATGAAATGACTATTTTTTTTTAGATTAGCAATTAAAATGTCTATTTTGAATTTGAGGCTTCTGTCTTTATTATGCAGGATGAGAAAAATTGGTGATTTTTAGTCGATTTAGTCTTTTGCTATAAGCCAGCACAGGAAAGCAAATATCCAAAGAATCAAAAGGCTGTTTTATCTAGAGATCCTTATGAAATCACTTGAAATAACAGAAACTGAACACACTTGAAATTACACAAGATAAATTGAAAGTACTGGCTGACTAAAGGGGGGCATAGACAATGGAACCCCGAAAGAGTTGATTTGCTGGAGAGAAGATGCAAAACTACAAGGGACTGAGACTTGCAGGGTATTGTTGAGGGCAAAGTGTGACCCACTGTTATTACCTCTGACTAGTGTCGTAGTGTGGGATTTTATAAGGGGAAAAAGTATAATACAGGGCATTTCATTATAAGATTATTTTAGAAGAGTCACCCAAGGACTCATATGTAAAAGAGTTCAGGAAATCTGTCCACACCCTAAAGATGAAGAATCTTGCCAAGGGCCTGGATCCCACGGTCACATCCTGCATGAGTCCAGTTGAAGACCTGGAGCCATCACAGTGTCCCCTACAAGTCCCGCTGGAGGCCTACAGCCTATGACAATGGCTCAGGAAGGCCTGCTGCTCCAACAATCCTCAGGCGGGCCCTCCACACTCAGTACCATGACAGTTCAGTTTAGCCAGGCTTAAAAGGTGACCACCAGTTGTCAACTCGCCACGTTTAGTAGGTCTATAATAATTATACATTTAATGGCCAGTAATGCAATATTTGAATATATGCATGCAGCATGCATTGAAATTAGAGTAATTAGCTTTTTTTTTTTCCTTTTTTTTTGTTATTGTTCTTGTCCTTTTTGAGACAGGGTTTTGCTATGCTACTGGGGCTGACCTTGAGCTCACTTTGTAGCCTAGGCGAGGCTGGAACCCATACATTAATTCTCCCCCTCAGCTTCCAAGAGTGCTAGGATTCCAGGTTTGAGCTGACAGTGCTTGGTTTAAGTTTTTTTTAAGAAGCAGTTTTAACCAGGGAAGGAAGACGTAGTCTCCCTAATGTTGGCTGTCTTTACGCTGATTCCTCATCAGAAGGAGACTAAGGATCACCCAAAAGGTGAGCTCGCTGCATTTTATTTCTACCAAATTACCTAAAGTCTTTGAACAAATGATGTGTTAACAATTGGGATACGGCAGAAAAGCACAGCATCCAGTCCAACTTACTGTATGATGTCCAGAAGACCTCTGATGTTGTTAAAAGATGACTCCACTCAAGTTGTTTCTTTTTTTTTTTTTTTTTGTATTTTAGGGAAGGGTTTACAGGGCGCTCAGGGTCTCATTACTAGATTGGACTCATAGTGATCCACCAGTTTGCAGCCTCCCAAGTGCTGGGATTACAGGCACGCACCACCACGCCCAGTCTCAATTGCTGTCTCTGCATGCCCCAGGTGCAGGGCCAGCGTGGCAGGACTCCGGATCGAACCCCTGGCCGCTGTGCCTGTTTGCAGGCACTTTAATCCTCTGAGCTATTAGGCTGGCCCTTAAGTCATGTTTCATGACTGTTCACTGTCACACAGCTGGGGGTTCTGTTCTGTGTAAAAACACGGAAACTGTTTCTCACTGTGATTCAGTTTTCAGTGTGATGAGTAATCTTGACTATGAAAAAGTCAACAGGAGCAGAGAGAGAAGGGGGAGAAAGAGACAAGGAGAGTGGGGAGAGAAAGAAGGAGTGTGGG